CCCATCTCCTTATCGGTGTTCTGAGGGTTTTGCGTTTTTCGTTTTTTACCAATTCGGCTAAATGTAGCCTCATATCTGCGATTCGTACCCAGTTCACGGTTCGTTTTGGTTTTTGGCGAGCGATAGCAGTTTCACGTTATGGCGTCGGTAATAATAGGATGAGGGTGTGATGGCGTCGTAAACGTCGTCGATCGCAACTCTTCTACGATCGTATCAACCGACAGTTCCATACCTCCACTGCACTCACCGGTTGTGCCTGTAACTTGTAGAGAACCTCATTTCCATTCGTTCATGAGCACTTCCAAAGATTAAAATCGCTTTCTAATCTCGATTGGAAGAACTTACCTGAATCTCATTTTCTAAGAAATCCACCTTCCCTAAGTTGTTGATTCAGCTGTTCCCTCAATATTGACAGAGGGAATCATGCATTTGCATTTTCTGCAGAATCGTTGCTGCCCCTAAAAAATTCTGAGTGGAAACCGAGCACATGAGGTGAAGACGTCACCTCACACTCCTGGGGTGACGTTTTCACCTCCTACTGGTTCCTGGAGTCTGTTCCTGTTTAGCACCATCGGGCCTTGTCCGTTTGGAGATAAGTACGTTCGTGCCATACTCAATCCGAGTAATAGTAGCGCGGATACGCCAATGTACGATCTTTCCTAGTCAATTGGAAGGCTGCATACACACACCCAATTGTGTGTCAGATCCGAAAGAAGGGTAAGGTGCTTGGCTTATGCCTTTCGCGTGGGTGACTCTGATAGGGAGAGGGCACTGAAATATGTATGTGCAAAGAATATGGGAAGTATCAGATTAGATCTAAAATGTGGTTCCATTTAAACCGTCGTTCCTCGAAAGCAGAGACTATGGGTGAGAAGTTCATCCAGCACTGGAAAACTCGTCCAATCTCGATTCCTCATTGCTGTAACAGTAGATGAGCATCATCCTTTTCTTCCACGAGTTTCCTCCTTCGTAATGCTCGAGATAGATGAAGTAGTGTAGTAATGGTAATACGCTGAGGGGATGCTTTCCGGAGCCAGCCTGTCACATTCAACCCGTCCCGTTCCATCATCGTTATGAGCCGGTTTCGATGGCTTTTCAATCATCATATATTGCTCATATTTTCTTCGTCATCCTCGAAAATAGGCCTCACTCCGAGAAAAACTGTTCGGTATCCTGTTGATCGGGAGAATACTACTAGTACTACCAGCTGGTCATCGTTCTATAGTGATTTGATGTACGGCAGTACCGTAACTGAGAGGTAGATGTGTTGTTTTTTCTTCCATGCCGAGAGACTAACCGGTTCTAGGAATAATCAGTAAAGCCACTTCGTTTGCTACGAGGCGACTTACGGCTAGTCCTCCGTCTTTACCTCCTCGTCCTAGTGCCTACAAACTTCAGTTTATGTTCTGCTTGCCAATCTTTTTCTTACCAGTAACCAAAGATGCATCTGACTTTGAAAGGGCTTTTTATGCACCTATTGAATTATTTCTGGAACCCTTGAATAGATCTTCTACATTGATATCAATGTAAAGGGGTGAGTGTCGCAATGGGCTAGTACCAGATGAGACAGAGGGAGTACAGCGCTGGGACTTCTCAGGTCATCGTATAGCGAAAAGAAGCACTCGAAGGTCGTTGGGATTTCATATCGGTTCCAAACATATGGCGCATCCGTAAGAAAACTGGACATTCCTAACATTACCTAGTTTTTCTTTTTATATTTCTATATAATTGGTGGAGGTTGTATAAAAGCAAGTGGCGCACAACATCATGGACCGATAATCGAACTCCGGATCGATATCTGCCCTAGCCAACCAAGCCTACCATCCATCCAAGCCGTTTGACAGTGTGCCACTAAGCATTCCACACCACCACCACCCAAATTCTTCACGATCTTTTAACAGCCTTCTACAGTGGTCAGTATCTAAAAAGTTCGGAAGTAGTTTTGGGGACTTTTTGGCTATCTTTGAACGAGCTATCATTGGGATATCTCGACAAACCCGATGCGACCATAGGAAAGACCACTTCTAGGTGGGGAATTTTTTGGCAGTCTAGCGGGAAATGGTAGAATCTTCGTACCACTTCTTGATTTTTTTCTTTTCTTTTGTTATCTGCCTTCACCATATCATCAAGCTCTGTAGAAAGCGACAGTGAGGCCAAATGCTCTATGTCATTAGCTCTGTTGTCGATGTTTATAATTGTTAGTTGTTTCGGCAGTTTAGGAAATCTGTAAGGCAATAGGCTTTCCCATCTGAGGTTCCCCTTGGTCTATTCGCCTGAAGTCTCGGACGTATTCGTTCATTTTGGGCTAAGTTGTCAGCATGCCCTAGCACTATTGCCTTTCTATGGCTCTGGACCAGAGGCTAGGATCTTGTAGAGAAGCCTTTTTTATGGGAGAAAACAACCTTCCTGTTAACATACACACTGAAAAAAATCTCGAAATCATCCCACGAGCGATCATTTCGAGTGGTGCACTGCAGGTTACTCCTGTTCGGATTCATGGGGGCCCTCTGAGCGATGTTTGTGTGGCTATTTTCAGTCTGCACGTCAATTCTGGCACGAGTTTACGGTCTTCAGAACAGTATTTGCTACCATATCTGCTTGGTCCGTTGGGTTATTCACTTGGAAATTGATAGCTTTTCCACAGTCATTTCTTGAAGATTCCTTGAAGGTATAGTTCGCTATGATTCCGGGCTACATAGTTTTAGGCGAATATCGGAGGTGACAGTCCAGAATAGAGCAGAAGTGGCAAAGAAAACGCAAAAACAGGCGTATTTGTGCAAGCCCAAGGCTTTAAAAAGTAGTAAAACCAGGGGTTGGACGAGAATAATGGAAGTGGTATTTGGACGAGCTGTCCAAATGTATGTGCCATTGTGTGCCGCTGGCTACAGTTAGGTGCGTGCGTCCAACGTGTGCGAATGGTGCAGGCTTTACTGCCTCTACAACGCCGAGAGATACTTTTGTATCAGGGTGTGTGACGGCTAAGACGTTTTTGGAGCTCTTACGCCCTCTCTAGGTGTTTCTGCTGCTGAGTCCGCTTTTCGAGCGCTTTTTATGGTATTCTGGAGGAGTACAGGTTCATCTGATGGGGAATTTGAAAAACCATTGCCATCGTGAACTGGGCCTTTAACTGAGCCGCTTATAAGACCAACGGTCCTCGTTTCCCTGCATCCCCGGCTTGTAAATTGGGGTGTCGATCGAAATTTCTTGTCCAGCACGATAGCATCGCGAGTTATTTTGGCTAATCTGCTCGTCGAATCGCAATGTGTCCGAGGGAGAAAAACGTCGCATGACTATCGTTCTTTTCACACCTACGATGACACCACTGGAAACCCATCATACGATCTAATAGTTCGCATTGCATCCATCCCATTACTTTTGATAGGTCATTCAGTGCCAAGTTATCCAAAATGTGCAGTGTACTTCACAGAAAGAAGTCATCCGAAAACC